CAACAGCACACAGTTCAGTGTCCGGGGCAACAAATCCTTTCTTTGATTGTTATGTTGGCAGGGTTACACCACCGGTTGTTAACTAAAACAGCAAGCCTTTACGCTTACCGCTAGCGATGCTGTCCCTGTCCGCCCGAACAGTGTGGAAGCCTTCCACGGAAGCATTCTCATCGGGAATGTCCTGGTGCAGCCATGATTCGGTGAAACACATCAGGCTACACTCTCGGTATTCCACTGTCTATAAATACTTTCAAATAACCATCATGAAAAAAAAACCCAGTGGCTATTTCAATCAGCTGTGTAGTCACTTGTGTCTGCAAAAAATGGGCAGTGACCAGAAAATATTTTATCTGACCCAGATGACACAATTGCATATCCAGTTCTGTGGAGCATGTGCAAAAATAGGTTTTTGGTGTGGACAACATTCATGGCCTCTTTGGTTGCTTGAGGATCCTGACATGTGAAAGTTGGACAAAAAGCGATACAATTAGAAAACTTGAAGCCTACTTAGATTGAAACAAAAAACAGCAACAGTGTGCTAATTTTAAAGCTACTAAAAGTCTATCCGAACATGTTTGGGTTTTTTTTTTTTTTGAAATAAAAACGTTCTTCTGCAGGGTTCATGTGGACCCTGTTTCACTCTGTCAATACCTGCAGGCACTCAATACCCAAATCACAGTGGAGTGCATTCATTACTTTTAGCCTAAATTTAGGTCCATGATGAAACTTATGGCCTCTGTGCCTGAGATGAAGAGAGGAAGCACAGTAACACTCAAAGAACAATGGGAACATGATCTGAGCCCTTCACATTTCAATGAGACTGTCCTTGGACCCATAGCTGGACTGGTCATTGGGCATACTGGGAATCTGTCTGGTGGGCCGATGGTAATTTTTCGTTTTTATGCGCTGATTTTTTTTGTTGTTCTGTTTTTTCCCCGTAACGGTGTAAACAATGAAAGGTGGCGGATTGGCCAGATGCTGGCAGATGTGTAAAAATAACTCAATTGTTTGGTGGTGGCTATGGCGGAGCTTCCACAGATTCAGTAAAATTAGAAAGTGGTGGAGGCCAGCAGGTGGATGAGGGAAAGGGGAGGCAGCTGCTGCTACTTCAATCACGAAACTGATCAATGATCAGCTGATTGGCTTTTCTGTCACAAGTCCCGTCTGTCTTGTTTGTTTATCGCTCACTTTGCACCAGAAAGAGGAAACCAGTGGCAGCAGCACGTTTAAGCTTGATCAGCTGTTGTTAGAATTGATTTAATATTACTTTCTAGTATCAGCTGATGTTTGCTGGAGCCACAGCTGTAAAAGCTGCTGGTCTTGATATCGGTTTGGATATCTGGGAAACATGAAGATGAAACCAGGAGATGTCCTTACTGAATCATCAGAGCTGAACAGGTGATGGAGAAACAGGTTTACCTTTTAGGTGACATGAATTAGTTGAAGGGAAGTTATGAACTGTTTGAGAGACAAATAACACCAGTATCCTTTTTTACTTAGCTGACATCTGGTAACTGTGTAGGGGCAGCTCTAGCAAAGTTTTGCCAGGACAGCAGGTAGGGCATTAACAGGGAAAGGGGGCACAAAGAAATACTTTTCTTTCTTATTCTCATTTAAAACGTCTAGCAAATATCAGTTTTTAGTTATTTTGTTAGTTAGTTTTTTTGTTAGAAAAAATATTTTGCCCTGCCATGATGTTAATTGATGTGGTAAATAAATAGTTCATGAAAACATCACTAAATCTGTCATTTATTATTTTTAATATTCAGTAATGGTCATGTTTTACCTCTAGTCTTCTCTGTCTTAATGTCAGGTTTCCACCATGTGTTGTAGATAGTTTAGGAGGTTAACTCGACCAAGCAGTCTTTGGGTTTTGGCTAAGTACTGTTTAGAATACCAGAATAGGGAGTGTAGGTTTAAGTTTTAGAGTGATACATATATACCAACAAGACAGTGTACATCACTGTCACAACGACGTTTGTTTTCATTCAAAGGCTTTATGGTCCATCCATCCATCCATCCATCCATCCATCCATCCATCCATCTTCATCCGCTTTATCCGAGGCTGGGTCGCGGGGGCAGCAGCCTAAGCAAAGAGCTTTATGGTTTTTCCTATAATACCTGGTGGGCCGGTCTGTAGTCAAAATGCCTAGGCTGATTTTTTTGTCCCAGTCCAGCCCTGCTTGGGCCCCTATAGGGTCCCTCTCCCCATAACCTCAACTAACTTAAAAGTACCTGTGTTTTATTGTTTGTATTCATTTAACAAGAGCCATATCATGGATGGATAATCATATAATATCCTTATTATTTTGTACCGTATTTACCATATTATCTTCCTGATTTTGCCTGTCAGCCTATAGTCTTACCCCATTAAAATGGAAAAATTCCATTCCTCTTTTCATCCTAGATGGTTAAGAGATGCTGTGTGTAATTGAACTGATTAAATCAAATCAAACCACATTAGTGAAACCATTCGTTTGCTTGCTCACACTGGGCAGTGTTACAGTGTTTGGGCAAAGCTTTTAGTGACCATATATCTGGAGCTTTTTTGTTGTTTTGTTTTGTTTCATAGAAAGCTTTTTCAGAATATATTCAGGTTAGAAGTGTCTCCTGGCTTTTTCCAGCAAGTTATCGGGGTTGTTGCACTGTTAGTATCAGCCTCTGGGAGGCAGCATTGGTCCATGTCTCCTGGCATTACAGGCTTCAAGTTACTTTAGAATAAAGACTTATTCAAGGATGTGCACATGAGAAAAGCATAATGTTTGCTTTGCTGACTGAGGGCGATTTTCCTATGTTTGTTTTGCAGTCTGCTTTACAACACATGGAAAAAGATCAAAAAGTATTTGTATTTATTGAAAGGGAAACTCAAATGAATATATACATGCAGGTTATTGTCCTTACTTCTAAAGGGAGCTTTCAAAAGTGAAAGCAGAATGCCTGTTGCAAGTGATTTGAGAATTTAGTAGCAAAAATATCCTGCAGAATAGAGAATTAATGTCAACTGTGGAGCTCTGCTGTGCAGGTCTAAAGACCATTTTATCGTTTTTCAGTTCATTATTTTGTTTAGTTTTTGCTCTATAGCTTTATAGAATTTCATGCTCATAGATGTTATTTTCCACCACAGCTGACAGTTTTCAATTCAGTCTGAATGTATTTATATAGCAGGATTATAAAGCAGTGGAACAACGATCCCCTCACTGTGCTTGAAGTAGAAATGAAACAGTAAATGTATAAAGGCTGATTACACCATTGAGGCCGGCTCTCAAAAACTGACATAACTAACATAAACTAATGGAAATCTTACTAATAAGACAACCAATAACTACAATAACTGCTGTTACAGCAGTTATTTATTTAGGGAAAAAAGGGACACTAAAACTCAGTTTAAGGGGGTCACATTTGTGCTGCCTCTGGCTGTAACAGTGGGTTGAACCAGCTTTCACCTGACTCAAACAGACTCTTCTCCACATAGCCCTTATTTTTAAAGTGCTTTACAAACACAAACATTATGGCTAACAGGTGGATTTTCTTGTGTCAGTGCAGTTAGCTAAACAACGTACAACCACTTACTGCTTCAGAAAGTAGACAGTATAGCCTTGATTTTAACATAAAAGTTATTGTTGCAGCACAAAAGTGGTCCCCTTAAACAGATTTTTTTAGTTTACTCTCTTTATATTCCCCTGAGTTATTGGTTCTGTTGCTAGTTTAAGTCTATTGACAGTGACCAACCAATCGGTGACGTAAGGTTCCATACTGACAGAAGATGGTGCTAAACACGTTTTTAAAACTTTAAGTACTTATTTCTTAAATCCAGCTTCACAGACAGAGTTACTTCTATGTCAGTTTTTGAGATGAGGCCTCAATGGTATAAATTAGCCTTTACCTTTACTTGAAGGTAGATCATTACCAGGACAACGCTGGCTTGTGAGATCCTAAGATTTCCAAGGTGTACAGTAGACCTAGAAACTCCTTTTGTAGGAATAAAGTTGAGGTTCCAGTAACTGACATTACTATATGAGATTCTCTGAAAAGTCTTAACTGTATGTGTGTATTTTTACAATTATCCTCATGCATACACTAGTTTAATAGAAAAAAAAATGATTGCAGTACACGTGAACTTATTTAAATAACTTCATTCAGTATCTTACTAGATACTGGGCAGAATTCAAACTTGTGACTCCCGCTTCAAAGGTGTGTACTCTTACTACTACACTATCCAGCTGCCATAAATAATTTGTGTCAGAAGTGGGATTCGAACCCATGTCTCCACAGGAGACTGTGACATCCTGACAATTATGTATATCTCCTATCAGAATCAGATGCGTTACCCAGGTGTTACCCATTGTGCTACATCATCCACTTAAAAGTAGGTGAGTATGTCAATCACTGATCAAATATTTATACCAGCAACCACAGAGAAGATGAAGAATATACATTTAAATTGCTGTAAATAAACACACCTGTATATTTTATAGCTTTTTCTATGACGCAGTAGGACAGCGACCAGTAAATAACAGTAAAAGTAATACCAGGCTTGTGTTAGTGACCATGTGACTGCCACACAAGATCAAGGGAAGTTAAGTCATTCCTTTTAAGACTAAATGACATCAAAGATTACTGCATCTGCTGTAATTCCAGTGTCAGTGGGGAAAAGAATATCAAGCGAGAGGGGGAAAGAGGAAGAGTAAAACGTTGTTTGCAGGAGGTGATTTATGTGTGGGTGAGTCTGTGTTTGCATTTTTGTTAGTAGTAGTCTGCTTGTACTGTTGACAAAGCATGCAGAGTCAGATAAATGACTAAGCTGCATGACTGTAGGTTGGGGGTGGGGGGCTGCTGAGAGAGCGAGAAGGAGTGGGTGGGGCGGGGTAGTGACAAGAATGAGTGAGATACGAGGTTGACAAAAGGGGGAAAGAGAAAGGGGAGAGAGAGGGAGAAGGAAAGAGCAACTGAGCATCCTCATCCCCCAGCAGAAGGAAGAGGAGGCTGTTAGTCAACGCCCTGCTCTGACTGAAAGAGCAGCTCAGCAGCCTCATGCCGTTCATCCCCACTGAGCAGCAAACAGAAGGATGCCACTCAGCAGCCTGACCCTTAGGCTGAGATTTGCTGGATTTGCTTTTCAAAATGGTGAATGTGTTTCAAATGGAATGATTGGGAATCCTTGTAAGCTACAGGGGATCATCTGATACCTGTCAGTTCATCTGCAACAGGACTTTGTGGGAAAGAGGTCAAGTTTGACAGACAAAGTTGGGGCTGCTGTATCTGTGTGTCGCAAAAATTCAGCTTTTCCTGCATGGTACCTGTGAGCATCTGGGAGCACCATGGGATGCACCACCAGCGTGGTTCTCTTGGAGGTGCTGCGTTCCATCCTTGAGAGAAATTGTGGCTACATCAAGGGGGAGGTGGAGCTGGTGGTTCTGGAGGAGCAAGTGGAAACATCAAGTCTAAGGGGATCTCAACTGTGGATTCCCACCAGCACACTGGTAACTACCACTAAATATTAGTCTTGTGTTTAGGTATATTTTCCAAGAAGTCAGTAACACAGTCAGCATATTAACCATCATCAAATAAAAAGCAAATTGATCATTAACTGCACTTAATACTTATTTATCAGTAACTAATAACAACACAATAATTAATGTTTACTAACTGGTTAATAACTGGCCAGCAAATAATCTGTCCAGTGTAGTTGGGTGAAAAATGTTTGATCTGCTGAATTTTAAGTTTGCTCACTTACAAAGGAATAAGCAGTCTATTTTTTATGATAGTTTCATTTTATTGGACAGGAACAGAATATCAACCAAAACCCTGAAAAAAAACTCACATTACCAAAGAGCTCTCAAAGGATGTCAGGGACAAGATTATAGACAAGCACAAGGCTGGAATTCTGGAATTTGGCTACAAGACCATCAGAAAAAAAGTGTGATGAAAAGAACACAGCTGTTGGTGCAATTATTTGAAAATGGGAATGGAATCAAAATAGCCATCATTTGATGATCATGAGAAAGGTGGTGCATTAGCCCAAAACTATAACATTACTAAGTACCGGTACTAAGGATTAAGGACGACATCACTGCATTGAGAGGCCAGTGGATGCGGCCATTTACTGTGAAATCTTGGGCGAGAACTTCCGTTCCTCAACTAGGACACTGAAGATGGGTCATTGATGTGTCGTCCAGCATGATAATGACCCAAAACATACCACTAATGCAGTCTTTCTATAACAGAAGTCAAATATTCTCCAGAAAGTTCTTCCCGTATGTGTTGCAGAGGTTCCCATAAATGTGTGGCACTTGTAGGTTGCTTTGCTTTTACTCTTCTGTCCAGTTCATTCCAAACCATCTCGATGGGGTTTAAGTCTGGAGACTGTTTTTAAGCTTACCATCTTGTTCTTTTTTCCTGAGGTAATTCTGGCATAGCTCAGACTTATGTTTTGGGTTATTGTTTTGCTGTAGGATGAACCCCTGACCAACTAAGCGCATACCAGAGGGACCACCATTGCGTGGTGCTGCAGAATGCTGTGGTAGCCAGCAAAGATGGGCGCGTTACTGTAATCTGATTACTTTTTTCAAGTAACGAGTAAAGTAAGGGTTTACTATTGCAAAAACGGTAATTAGATTACCGTTACTTTCCCGTAGGAACGCTGCGTTACTAAAACCGTGATTTTTTGCGAGAATGTCTCACGACAGTGACGTAAGCGAGTGCGCCGTTAGTGACAACAGCTGTCTGCAGATCAACAATGGATCACATATCGATTGTGGGAGAGAGTATGAGCGTGCAGCGTTTAAAGCGTGGAAGTACTGACCTTACTTTGAGTTTGATTCCATAAAAAGTGACAAAAACATTAGCGTCCATTGTGCGTGGGAAGAAAACTTCTTTTTACAGCGAAAAAAACCCCTAAACTTCCAAGCAAGCACCGGGTGCGCCATGACGTAATGGGAAACTCACAGAGAAAGTCGCGGATTCTTCAACTGACCGCGGCACACCTGCACCAGGGTAAACCTCCGCCTACCGTAGTCCTGCTTTACAGGTGAAAATAGAGCAACAGCACCGCTGAGTCTTTGACTTTATTTATTTTCTGCTGTGTTTTACTTGCATCTATTTGAAAGAGTGAGTGTAAACACAAAAAATATTTTATTTTATGTGCTGGAATGTGCAGAAAATAGGTTTAAATGTTAAACTAATTTATTCAAGTCAGAGAATGTTGCATATAATAAAATTTTTGCTTGATGTATAAAGTTAAAAGATTAAAACTGATAAAACAAGTTTAAAAAAAAAAGAGACTTTTCCATTTGATTACATTTTGTATGATGGATTATGTAGAAAAAGTAGAATTGGGCTGAAAGATCTATCACTTTATCACCTCTTCAGGTTGTAAATCGTGTTTTTAAAAAGTAACTAAGTAACTAAGTAATTAATTACTTTTGAAAATAAGTAATCAGTAAAGTAACAGTAATTAGTTACTGATTACTTTTTTCAAGTAACTTGACCAACACTGGTAGCCAGGCTCTCCAGTGTATCCTTTGAAAACCACGGATCTTCATGTGATCACCCCAGCTAGTTGCAGGAGCATTGACCGAATACTTCTGTCCTTGGGACTTGGATAAAGCTGGGGTAGCCTACATACTGAGCATAGCTTAACCGCCCCGAAGTTGGTGTTAGCCTAACTTCAAGTCAGCAGACAACAGAACTATCTAGTTCAACTTGGCAGAGGTGTTTTAAGAGGGCAAGAACTGACAGATGACTGTGATGACAGGGGTGTATATGTGCAGGCAGGTCCCAGGTGTCATTGCAGATCCATCCATCCATCCATCCATCCATCCATCCATTTTCTTCCGCTTTATCCGGGGCCGGGTCGCGGGGGCAGCAGCCTAAGCAGAGAAGCCCAGACCTCCGTCTCCCTAGCCACCTCCTCTAGCTTATCCAGGGGAACACCAAGGTGTTCCCAGGCCAGCCGAGAGATATAATCTCTCCAGCGTGTCCTGGATCTGCCCCGGGGCCTCCTCCCGGTGGGACATGCTCGGAACACCTCACCCAGAAGGTGCCCAGGAGGCATCCTTGTCAGATGCCCGAACCACCTCAGCTGGCTCCTTTCGATGTGGAGGAGCAGCGGCTCTACTCTAAACCTCCCGGATTGCTGAACTTCTCACCCTATCTCTAAGGGAGAGGCCAGCCACCCTTCGGAGGAAGCTCATTTCTGCCGCTTATGTCCGCAATCTCGTTCTTTCGGTCACTACCCACAGCTCGTGGCCATAGGTGAGGGTAGGGACGTAGATCGACCGGTAAATTGAGAGCTTCGCTTTTACACTCAGCTCTCTCTTCACCATGACGGACCGGTGCAGGGTCTGCATCACTGCGGCCGCAGAACCAATCCATCTGTCGATCTCCGACTCCTTCTCCCATCACTTGCGAACAAGACCCCGAGATACTTGAACTCCTCCACTTGTGGCAGGAACTCATCCCCGACCCGGAGTGGACACTCCACCCTTTTCCGGCTGAGAACCATGGCCTCAGATTTGGAGGTGCTGATCCTCATTCCCGCTACTTCATACTCAGCTGTGAACCGTTCCAGTGTGAGCTGGAGGCCATCACCCGATGAAGCCAACAGAACCACATCATCCGCGAAAAGCAGAGATCAGTTTCTGAGGCCACTGAAGTCATAGCCCTCCGCCACTTGGCTGCGCCTAGAAATCCTGTCCATAAAAATTATGAACAGAATTGGTGACAAAGAGCAGCCCTGGCAGAGCCCATCACCCACCGGGAACGAGTCCGACTTATTGCTGGCAATGCGAACCAACCTCTTGCAACGGTTGTATAGGGATTGAATGGCCCGTAGCAATGGGCCAGACACCCCATACTCCCGTAGCATTTCCCACAGGACACCCCAAGGGACACGGTTGAATGCCTTCTCCAAGTCCACAAAACACATGTAGACTGGTTGGGCAAACTCCCATGTGCCCTCAAGTATCCTTGAGAGGATAAAGAGCTGGTCCAGTGTTTCGCGACTAGGACGAAAACCGCATTGTTCCTCCTGTATCTGAGGTTTGACTAGCAGACGAACTCTGGTTAGTCATTGCAGATCATCTGCATTACAAGCTTGAACAGATTTGTCTTCAGCCACAACATGCGGAGGCATTATATGCCATACTATGTGTTGTAACAAGTGAATTGACTGAAAGGACACCTAAGAGCTACATCTCAGACTCATTTATCATGCTAACTCAATTAGTATAGTCAATATTTATGTTCAATTAGAAGACGACTCAATAAAAAAATCAATAAATACAAACAGAAGCTGGAACTAAGAACTGAAGACTCAAAATACAAAGGAAATCTAATATATATAAATAATAGAATCAAAATATAAAAAATAACTAAAAACCAAACAGAGAATACCTTATAGTAAAAGAGAATTCAAATTCCAAAAAACTCAGAACACTGGGTCCCAGACCTAGGACCTGAAATAGTTTTGCAAGTTTGCACAATGTCCTCTGGACAGACAAGACCAATAATGCACAGTGCCACTTAAAGAAAAGCAAACAAAACATAACTGCACAAACATTGAGTCACATTAAGCCCAGCTTTAGTTTTCGTGTGATGCAGAATACCCAGCATCTTATTATTACCCCCTTATCTTATTAGGTTACAGATTGAAGACTGAATGAAACTCAGCTACTAGTTTAATTTAACCTCATTCTGAATTGTTGTTGACTGTTATAGACAGTGGCAAAATGTGTTTTAAATCTGTGTATGACATATAAGATCAGTCTGAAGGGGAAGTTTCACTTCTTTTCAGTCAACACCCTCACACTTTGACTCCCCAGGCTAACTGTAGCTCTCAAACATTATGTCAATCTGGCCTTATGCAATACTCCACAGACTCTTGTGATGTGCTGTGTCTTTATATGTATATGTTTGTGTGTGTGCACATGCACATGTGTGTGCGTGTATATATATTCCCCTCAGGAACTTTGTGAAAGGCTCACATGTCGTAATTGGTTCAAGCTGAATAAAAGCAAGTGGAGACTATCCCACTCCACTTCCTCCTCCTCTGCTTTTTCTATGATTTTTTTTTTTTTTACAGGCTCTTACGGAGATGGGCCTATAAACTGATTTGCAATCCCTTCAAACACACATTCAGATCCAAAGTCACTTGTGGTGTGACTGTTATGGTATCCGTGATACCCTGTGGAAGTGTATGAGAGTGCTCCAGAGATGTGGGTGAATGAAGCAGAATGACCTCAGTGCAGCCAGTCTATTGACAAGGGGCTGATTATTATACTGAGCTGGCGTCACCGTCACTGCAGCCTCCGTAGGATGACAGGGACACAGCAGTCAGCAGTGCATAAGACCAAAGGACAGCCAAGTCTCTAACATGCATTAGATTCAGTGTACAGTAAATGTTTTACCTCAAACTCTCCTGTTGAAGACAGTTGTTTTGCCCATTTTACTTCACCTAAGCTTTGAGGTTTAAAGGGAAACA